TTGGAGACTATTCCATTTAAGCCATCATAGTAGTTAACAAGTTACATCCATTGCACACAGAGGACTGATGTCAACTGGAATTAGTCGCATACTTGAGGTGGAAGTTGTAGAAGCTTAACGTCTGTGACGGCCGAACAGCTGTGAAATCATACGGACAGCTTTGACATTTATCATATTTATCCCATTTAAATAAACATTTTTCTTACACGCCTGTAGCAGTGTTTACAGTATAAGAGATCAGTTCAACAGGCAAATGAGCACTGTTCGGTTTTTCTCACACTCGTCAGAGGCCAGACTGTGTACCAGGCAAATCATGATATTATAATATAGGCATAGTTGTATATGGGCGGAATACTGCCAGGTTGCCTAGGCCAAGGCAGGTGAATTTTCTCGAGGAATTCACAGCCGGAGCCTTCGGTTAGCCAAAGCGTGACCCGCAAGGCAGCGGGGCGGTGTGTGAAAACCACAGTCCATCGGGAGCCGATGTCCAGTTCATCGGGTCATTCGTCGTTCGGATGGGGTCAAACGTCCAAGGTGCCCAATACACCTCAATGCCCAATCGAGCCGGTGACCACTGCCACAATTAGAAAGGTGTGTGGTTCGTACGCTTCTTTTTGGTTGCTTGGGAATCAGGGTTTTTGGCCAACTCCCCTAGATGAACTACTAGTGGTCCACCAACCCGGATGCCTCCAAATACGTCGGTATGGTTGGGAGTGGGTGTCTCGAGCCCCGAAATGGCCATTCGTACCGAACACCTCTAGAAATGCGCCCAAACGACCAAGCGCCTCAAATAGCTTCTGCTGAGCAAGTCTTACCCACTACCTTCTCGTGGCGGAGGCGTTAACACTAAAGTGAGAGGGTAAAGACGAACGCCCGGCGCATTCCACCGGGTTAACTGACCACTGGTAGTCAGTCTAAGGGAGTTGGTTAAACCCTGGTTCCAAACCACCCACACCTGGCGTAAGAAGCTCATAGTGGCACCAATCTTCGGCGCAACCGAACCGGTCTCCAAAGTTAATCTTTGGAGTTGACCACCGTGGTACTCACCGGCAAGTGCGCGGCTCAAGGGCAATCTGGGTGGGTACCCTGGATAGTTGGCCGTATCCGAAAGGCGTATGAACTGCCCACCTCCCAGTCACCGGCTCCCAGAGGATCGTGGACTCCCTACTCCACCCCACTGCCTTGCGGGTCAGGTTCTTTAACCAAAGGCTTCGGGTAGGGTCCTCCAAGAAAACCCAACGATTCAAGAGTCATTGAACCGTTTGGCAATTGAGGTTACTCGTTATGGTATGCCATTTGCACCTTCAAAGTGCAAAGTGTTGTTGCAAGACTGGCAGGAACCCATTCCTGCACTTTCATTGGATAATGACACTCTGGAAGTAGTCGAAAGCTTTGTCTACCTTGGGAGTTGCATAACAGCTGGCGGAGGTGTGGGCGAGATCTCTCAACGCGTGATCAAAGCTAGATTAGCGTTTGCTAATCTGCGGCATCTCTGGCGCCGGCGCGATACATCCCTTTCACTGAGAGGGCGTCTAGTGCGCAACGGTACGCACCGTGTTGCTCTATGGCTGCGAGACCTGGCCTCTTCTAGCAGACCACGCCCAGCAGCTATCAGTCTTTGACAACCGCTGTCTGCGCAACATCGCCCGCGTATGGTGGGAGCACCGCGTGAATAACGATGAAGTCAGAC